GGTAGGCTGCATAATTCCACCAAAGGGTTTTTAAGTTAGAATTATATTTGAAATCCCCAAATGAAATGTTGAAGCAGCTGAATTAACCTACCCACCCTGTCTCCCAGTCTACCTGACTTATGGGACAACCAACTAGGCTAGCCCCTCCCTCTCTGTTAAAGCACCGTTGCTTAGGCCAAAGGCTCACCCCAATCCCTTCTGAAGGGCCTGCGTGAGACCTCATTTCTCCAAATATAAAAACTATTGAATGATTAAGGGATTGCATAGATGTGATTTCTGATACTGCTTTAGCTCTAAAAACTTGTATCATTAAAGTCCTGTATGGTCCTGTATGGTCACTTATTTTGGTCACTTAATTTTAAATAGAGATATTGAAGAAAGCCCAAAGAAGAGGAACAAAAATGACTAACCAATGCAAAAGTAGACTGTTTAACCAGAAAAAGAGAAAGCAAAGTTGGTGGCAACTGTTTCACATCACTTAATTTTCAGCTTGTTTAGGTGGTTTTATAATCACATTCCCCCAGTGCACAACATTTAATGATTTGTCAATGAATAAATTAAATGAATACCCCGATTTCCCACTTCACAGCAAGCAGATAAAGTTGTGGTGGAGTGGCCAGTGGCCCAAAATTTAACAAAAGAAATTATAAAGTATATACACTCACACTCACACACCCAACCTTCTTTTCTTTGTTCCCAAGTGTCATTCAACAAAATAGATAAGGAACACTGTGAAAACCACCCAGTGGAGAAACTTGCTTCACTGTCACGGAGGCTGTATTCTGTATATTATTTCCTTGGATTAATTTCCTTCCTCCAACAGCTAAGTTATTTTTAAATACAAAACCTTTAATAGGAATCCCTCACATCCTTACAGAGAGATGCTCCAATGCCTCCTCCCCCTAAAATACCTCATTCACAGATAGATTTTTAAGATTTTCATTGCAGGGGCACCACTGATGATGTCTATCCCCCAAACCCCATGCTCTAAGAACTGCAACTCTCATGGGTTCTGGCAACCATATTTGCGACACATGATTCTACGTGCTCCACTACTACCACCTCCAACCAAGGCGGATGAGTCCCCTGAGGCGAGGCAAGACCATCATACTTTCTCCTAGGGAATGAAAACAGGGATTCTAGAATGTTGGTCAAGAGTCTGCTTATCTCAAATTGAGGCGGAGCTGGCTGCTGTGGGGCAGCCATTTTGAGCCATGTGCATGGAAAAGCAACAAAAACCGGATTGTAAATAGAGAGGGGAAGAAATTAAGGGCACCAGTAGAGAAGCAAAGATGGAGGTCATAAAGTGCCAGAGAAAAGACCTAACACAACAGCTGCCCTGCATGATAAGGACTTTCTGGTCCCTAGTTCATGGCTCCAGTCTTCTGTGAACCGTGACTGCATTCCCTGCACTTGGGTCCTGAGAGAGATCCTGATCTTCGAAAAATATTATCCCATTTTTGCTTAAAGTAGTTTGCAACCATGAAATGCTCCACTGTGTAATGGATATTTCTAACATCACATGAGAAAGAAGGCTACGCCAAAACTGTTATTGCTAAACAGCAAAGGAACAAACGCACCACTTTGCAACATATTTTCTTTTATTCATAACTTACTGCTGTTTTATCATGTCTCTGCGTTGTTTTGAGGGGACGACTAATTTGTCCGTTCACAATACAACCCCTATCACCCCATCGTCCAGAATGACTCTAGGCAGGGATCCTAACAACCAACTTTCTTAACAAATACTTTTCCTGCCAATAACAGTAGGAAAACCTAAGTACAGCACACCATTTTCTTCTTCAAATGTACTTAACTGACCCACTTCAATGTCTGGGTTTTGTCTTTTTTCTTTTTAAGGCTTGAGAATTAATCAAGCGTGAACTAGATGATCCTACCATTCAAAAGTATAAGTGAATGTCAGCCCCCTGAGGCAGGGATTATGCCTGTTCACCTTTGTATCCTCAACCCCTGCACAGCACCCCACACTGAGTGAGCACTTGCTAAAAAATGAAAGGATGAAAAGGAAGAGAGCATCATAGTCAAGCACACAAACTCTGGAATCGGATAGAACTGGGTTAGAATCCCACACCTTTCATGGCCTTGTCACATTTATGAAGGCTCAGAATTCTGCTAAGAATTTTATGTACATCATTTTATTTAATGCTCCTTCCCCTGAAAAGCTGTACGGTATTATGATGCCTCATTTTAACACTTGATGAAAATTGAGAAACTTGCCCTAGGCCCAGGTTAGTAACCCCCAGCCTAAGCCCCTAACCTTTATGATAAACTGCTTCTTACCACTGACTTTGTGACCTTGGGCAAACAATGTCATCACTCCATTTGCTCAAGATTGTGGTTCTGAAGACTAAGGCAGACAGATCGTGTCTGTAAAGTGCTCATTAGCACAGTGCCAGACAGAGCAAACTGCTCATTAAAAGGCAGTCATTATTATTAGAGTTACTAACTAGTGAGCCTACAGTAAGATGCTTCAAGCAGGACTTGTGCTTCTGTAAACTACACATTCTCTGGAAAACAGCCATTTTCAAGATCTAGGCAGCCAAAGCAAAAGGAGCAAATTAGAACCAATATTTATCTTGGAGATGATCGAAATTCTCCAAAAGGGAGTAACAGATAAGAAATCTTTTGATAGTTTGAAAGCAGTGATCATGCTTGAAGTTAGGGGGCGCCATCCTGCTGTACTACATTATAAGGAGCCACTTCCCCAGAAAGTGTTCAGCACCCTAGGACTTTTCTCCAACAGTGAAAGCAGATAAATTCTGACCAGCAATAAGTTTTGGGGCAGGGAGGGGGAACCCTTTATTATCTCTTTCCATACTTTTCCACAGTTTCAATTTCAATTCTAGTATATATTTGTATTTTATTCCCAAGGCCTTTGCTATTGCTTCATTGATAAAGGGCATTATTATATTATTCAATGACCTATTAAAATCCAGAATAAAAGTATTAGGATCGATACATTAATAAGTATAACCCAAAAAAATTCAAGGTACCTTTAAAACAATTGGTCTAAAATAAATGACTGTATTGACAATTGTTGAAATGGGTGATGGAAGCTCATTATAATAGTAGCCTCTCTACATTTATATGTTTGAAATTTTTCATAATAAAAAAGTTACAAATAGATTTTTTAAATAAATGTACATATTTTGCCTTTTAAAAATTCAGTTTTTGCTGAAAATGCATTTGAAGGATGCAGCAGGAAACTGGGTCTATATCACTGCTTTGGGAAGCAGCACGGAATAAGACACTCAGTTGAAGGAAGAGAAGTAGTAAATAAGGAGGTTAAATTAAGGTGAAACTAACATAAACCATGTAGAAATGGAATGTGTTTCTGCAATGCTTTAATAATAAACTTCAAAGAAGAGACCCAAGGTCACATGGCATTACTAAAGAGACTTCTTGATACTGGCAAATCAAACTTTTTAAGTTTTTTTAACCATAATAATTGTTTGCTCAAGCCTGGTTTGCATTTGGTTCTAATTGACCAGGGAGTCTCCCAACCCAGAGGTGATTTTTCTAAACAGAGGAACGAAGAGTCCAAGGAGAGCTGCAAATCTAGGTATGGACAGATGTCTCTTCAGTGGACAAAAGATGAATTTTCTGTTTTCCATTCACAGTCACCTTCTGTTAACTGAAAAGATTAGCTGAAAAGTTATTTGTTCTACCTAGAAGATAACCCATAATTGAAAAATCATATCTATAGATCTTTTTTCCTTACCCAGACACACACAGTGCTTTTCGTTCAATTTGTGGAGTTAAATTCTAGCCTAAAACCTTACTACTGTTCATTAAGTCGAAGCTAAATAAAAATACTAAACGTTCAAATATATTAGTGACCTCTTTCTACCAATTAATTCTGATCTTCCTCAGAGCAAATTCTGTTCCCAGAATGCTGGCGGGGGAAATTCCTAACACCTAAGTTTAAAAGTTTAAAAAACTGGTAAGAAGCCATCTGCTTTTTCAGGTTGACGCTACCGGCACCTCTGCAATATCAAGGCTAGCCATTCCCCTCCCACCCCACCCGAGACAGGCAAGGTGCAAAAACAAGACCAATCAAGACAAACGGCTTTCTAATCCACCACCAAAATGATGAAGGAAGAGTAAAGAAACACTTTCACATCCATCTTCTACAGAGTCCACCTAACGCTGAATTTTCCCCAAATCAAAGTTAGAAAGCATGTTCTTCTAAGACTTACTTTTTGTGTCTATTTAATAATGATGCTTTCAGATATTCTTGAAATGTCCTCCTAGCTTGAAAGATGTACAGCAATCTATTTCTCCTTTACTCTATTTGCCCACTCCAACCCTTCATTTCTACACATTTCCAGTCTTCACCACTTGCCCTATATTATGAGTGTTCCTCTCAGCTTAAAAAAACAAGCGAGACAACAATGGTATGCTGTATTACAGGATCAATCTTAAATTGAGAAATGTTACATATATGGTACATAGGGGAACGCTCACCTTCCTTCTCACACTAGTACGTTTTGCCTCACTGTGTTCAAGTTTTCTACAGTTCTGAGTCCCCCCTTGATCGGTCCACAGTAAACGAAATGCAAATCATTCTCAGAACTGCCACTGGAAAACAGGCTGGATTATCATTTGTAGAAAAGACTGAGTATCTAGACTACCCCAAAGTAATGTACGTGCACCAACATCATTGTACATGCACCAACCACACTTTCCCATATTTCTGCCATCTACCTGTAAATGTTTCCAGGATAAATTATACCCAGCAAGTCACTTCTGTTTATGTGAACAAAAACATGGTTTCTTTCCAGAGGTAATTGACTACCCTCTTTTCGATTACTTAACTGGTTGTTTTGAGTGGATTCCCCCCATCAACTGCGTTAAAAAGGGGAAGGTGGTGGTGTAGGCTCAGCACCAGGAGAGAATTTTCACAATCAAGTAGATGATCTAAGTGTCCTGGGTTCAACAAGCCAAGGGCAGCACTCAAAAGTGAAGAGGAGCTTTACCCTTCCACAGGGCAAACTCTTCCCACACCTGCCAAGCTCCACAAACCAAATGACACACTGCAAAATCACAACTGTCTCCAGATTCTTTGAGTGCTTTCATAGCTCTGAAATCAGCAAAGGGCATTAGGTGACTTTAAAGCAGACATTTAAGATCATGAGTTCACGTGTGTCTCAGATCAAACACAACATTTCTAATAACCTGTCCCTGGTTTGGACCTTTGAGAACCCCCATGTCCTAAAGTCAGACCAAAAAGCCACAGCTTTTCCGACTTGTACTACCCACCAGAGCCCTTATTTTAAAGTTAACAAAAGGTCATAATTATACACCTAAGCCCCCTCAGCATGGATTTTCACGGGCGTGGGTGGGGTGACAAACTGGCTGTTTTCTTGCTTCTTGGTTAAAAACTAAAGTTCGCTTGTAGCCAGCCCTGCGAAGGCGACAGGCAACGGACTCCGAATGCCCCCGGTCCTAGGTCACCGCGGTCTGCAGTAGCGGCGGGGCGCCCGCACGCGTCCTACCTTGGACCTCTCCTTGACGTAGTATTTGCCCAGGCGGCTCCCGCAGTACAGGACCAGCCTGTCGATGAGAGACAGGAGGAAGCTGATGGCCTCGCAACCCTCCTCGTTGCCCCCTATCCACGTGATCTGGTCGCCCCGCAGGTGCCGCTTGGAGACGCCGGCGCGTGGCCCCGCCAGCTGGCCGTCCCGCAGCACTCCGTTGCTGTGCAGCTGCTTGACGCGCTCCAGGACGCAGTCGCCCACCACCTCGCCCAAGAAGTTGTCCAGGTAACAGAAGCCGACCTCGTGCAGACAGGGCACGATGTACTCCAAGGCAATTTTCTCCAGATCCAGCCTCATGATGTGTCCCAGGGGCATCTCGCCCACAGAGTCGATCTCGGGGACCCCCAGGGTGCACCCAGAAAGAGAGAGAGAAAGAGAGAGCGACCTGCGCGCGCGCGCAGCCGAGGCGCGGGGAGCGTGGTCCGGGTTCAGCTACCTGCGGCGGCCAAGGTCCGCGAGCCACCGCAGCGCCAGGGAGACGGTAAAGTTGCTCGCAACTCTGGGGTGGAGGGATCCCGGTCAGCGACCAGCGGGAGTTGTGCGAAGCTCCACGACCCGGCACTGAACTGGCCCAGCGAAGAGTCAGAGGGTCCCTTTTGGGGACGCGGAGCTACCAATGGTGCCGCGGCGGCCCCAGGCGGGGAAAGGCTGAGGTCCAGCCCGGCAGCCGGCCAAGTCGGCGCGTCACGGGCCCCGCCCAGGCTCCGCCCCGGGACCGCCTCCGGGACAGCCCTTCCCCCCGGCCCGCCACCCCCGCCGGGTCTACCACTCAGCGGAGGAGCCCAGCGGGCTCCGCGCCAGACACGGTTGTTTGTGACTAGGGAGGGGCTGGAGAACTGAAGGGGTTTTTAGAATACTACGATTTGCATATATTTTGCATAAAGTCCCAGAACAAACTTGAAAACTTGAATTCCAGTTCTGAAAATATAAATGAAATTAACAGCACAGTTTACTGACATATTCTGGGCTGGTCATTTCACAGGTTTTTGAATAAAATAACCCAGGAACAAATTAAACATATGAAACAGTGATCTCGTTCTAGCTTTACCTGGTGCCTTTCCTTCTCCTTACCTCTGCTGTTTGACCCAGTCAGGAGATTCAAGACACTGAGCGACCAGGAGGAATCCAGTTTTAACTAAGATTAACAAACATTTTTCTAAGCCCTACTATGTTCAAGGCTGTCCTGTGCTCAGTGAAGGGGTATGTGCACAATGAAGAAATGCTGGATCATATCTGACTGAACCCTGAAAATACTGTATTTTGCTCTGCTGTTTTCATTCACTTATCTTTCAAGCTTACTAAATATGATCTGAAATTCTGCCTTCAAAATTTATCACATCCTCATGTAACAGCCAGTATAGGTGTGTCCCCCAAAAGACAGACTGTATTCTAGGTCTCTTATCTCACTTTTCCCACAAGGAGCTGCAATGGCATGGGAGGGACGGACATCGCCTAGAAGATTTTTTAGTTATCTAAAGGTAAGCTGGCTGCCTTCTGGATGTTTTTGTTCCCTTTCTTAATGAACACCAGAGATCAAAATCAGGGGGAAAAAGATTGATTAATTGCATGTGAAGCCATTTCCATATTTTTTAGTTTTACATTAGCACTCAGGTGTTTCATTTAAGTTGATCAAAAGATTGTACAGCTTTTACAGGGATCGTTTATTTTGTACATGATCCCCTACAGCTTTTTCACTTTTATTCTCCTTCCAATAGCCCTCTCGTCTTTGCATTTAAGGGGAGAAATATGAAAGGAGGAATGCAATGAAGTCCAGGCCAAGAACAAAGAGTAGAGTAGGTAAGGGACACTGCTGCTACATGATGGAAAGAAGCGGACACAGGCACGTGGTAGAGGAATGTTCAAGAGGAGCCAGCAGTGGGAAACTGGTGAAACTTCTAGTTATGTTTCGAGGGAGTTCTCTGCCAAGACAGTAATTAGTTGACACTGTTGGTATGACCTTTCAGCAGGAGGTACACCAACTAGGGTAAAGGCTTGACTTGGCCAGCCTCAAGGATCTGTCTTAATTCCCATAGCAGCTCCTTGATGCCAAGAGCTCACATCCTTGGACCACCAGCACCTAGCAGCTAGTAGGTGCCTAATAATGTGGGCCCGGGTAGGCTTTGGCTTTTGAGTTTTGCAGCTTTGGGGACTGCTGTCGACCTCAGAATTAGATATCCCTGAAAAAAGCCAGAATTTTAAAAGGGGGGAAATGACAGATAAACCTTGATAGCTGGCAGAAATTTTTCTAACTAAAGGTTCTTTGTAGATACACCTGACACTCCTAGGAATAATTAGGAGGGAACTTACACAGGACCGGAAAATCTGCAGTAGCAGGTAGAGGAGGTGTGTGTGTTATGTGCCATTGAGTCAGCTCTGACTCCTGGTGACCCTGCAAATGAGTGGCGTCCACAATGTCCCTCCTCAGCAGCCCTGCTCAGCTCCTGTAGACTCATGCAGTGATGAGTTAAAATACAGAAAATTACATACCCGCTTCCCAGAATGAATACTCGTATGTTGACCCAAGACTTTAAATCCCAGGACTGGGTAAATTTGGCTTACTATTCAAATAATGTTTCAATAATGTTAAAGTTCTAACTAGTCTAGTTGTAACCAGAGTAATAAACAGTCTGTAAGCAAATTCTAGGGACTGATAGCCTTAAGCTGTTCTAGGTTACTTTGGTTGCAAAGTGTGGGCAGTTTAGAAGGATATTCAATCCCTTGCTGCCATCCCTGCTTGGCAAGGGCACCGATTAATCAATCAAGGGCCTCCTGATCAACGTGGGGCTGCCAGCACTGCACTTGGCTGAGGACCGTGAGATACCATGACTGGCAAAAAGCACAGTGTGTGATTACACGGAGGGGTGCAGACAGGCTGGAGCCATGCACGGGCTCCGAGCCTGAACATCATAGTGGCAAACCCCATGCTAATTTTTAAAGTGCATTTGTTTTAGTTGTTTGTCCATTAATTTGTGTCATTGTAACAATATTAAGATACTTCTCATATTAATAACTAAAACAAATTAATTTCCCTGTAATTTAATTACAACAACATCATCTCCCAGCGTACATCTGCAGTACACATGCAGTCATTTGCAAGCATGTGGATCAGGCAGGGAGAAAAGGAGGATGTGAAATTTCTTTATCTTGGAATTTTAACTGAATGGGACCCTAGTAGTCACCAAGTCCAACTTCATTTTCTTACAGATGAGAAAGCCCAGTTCCAGAGGGGCAAGACAGTAGGTAACTTTCCAAATAAAGTCTCTGGTGAGTGGAAGAGGAAGCCTGGAATGCTCTGTCTTCTCAGCTGGAGCAAAGGGAGCACTCACTCTCACCCTATTTATGTCTCTATGTTTTTTTAACTAGGTAACATTTACAAAACATAAAATTAACCCTTTTATACTGAACAATTCAGTGTCATTTAGTACATTCACAATGTTGTGCAACCCCTGCTACCCTCTAATTCCAAAACATGGTCACCACTCGAAAAGAAAACCATGTATCCATTAAGCAGTTACTCCCCAATTCCCCAGCCCTGATAACCACCAGTCTGCTTTCAGCCACTGTGGATTTACCTATTCTGGATATTCCCTATAAGTAGAGTCAGAGGATATGTGACCTTTTGTGTCTGGCTTCTTTCACTTAGTAAAATGTTTCCCAGGTTGTACCATGTATCAGCGCTTTGTTCCCTTGTATGGATGAATAATACTCTTGTATAGATAGACCACATTTGTTTATCAATTCATAAGTTAATGGATATTTGGGTTGTTCCTACCTTTTGGTTATTTGAGTTGCTTTCAAGCCTTTTGAGTATACATATTATACCTTGGAGTGCAATTGCTGGGTTATGTGGTAGTTCTATGTTTAACTTTTTAAGGAACTGCCTGTTTTCCAAAAGGCTGCACCATTTTACATTCCCACCAATAATATGGGAGGGTTCCNCTTCAATGTCCTGCCATGCCTGAGGCTTCCTCCCTGAATATTTCTTTTGGTGTTTTTGCCATGCTGTATCTCAAGAGGTTTATCATTATATTGAATGACTTCAACATGGTCAAGGACTAGCTTATTTATTAATTTATCAAACACTTTTGTAACACCATATTCCAGGCACTGTGCTAACAGTGTTTCAAACATTACTTCAATTAATTCTTATAACACCACCAAGAAATAGGTACTATTATTATTCCCCCTTATGAAGATGACAAAAATGAGGCATAGAGAAGCTAAGGAACTTGTCCAAGGTCACATAGTGAGAGAGTAGAACAATGATGGACAGAATCTGAGATTCCAATGTGGTAAGATCAAGGGACAAATCATTTTGAGCCACTTGCTTAGCTTGGCAATGTTTTTGCCCTTAAGTACTCTTTTTTGTTGTTGTTATAACTCTTAATTATAACACTCTCATCTGCAATGACAATTTTAGTTAACAGTTTTCTTACTGATAGTTGGTGGAAAAGGGAGATAAGCAAAACTTTCCATAAATTATTTAGCTGACTGTATTAAAAGAAGTCTTCCAAACTACAAATTAGGACTGGCTCCTTGCTCCAATCCAATTATGGCCCGGTGTTTCTAGGAATCGCACATTCCAGTGATGTACACGCTATTGAGAGTAGTCTATTGAGAGTAGTTGTGATAATGAGCCACACTTCAGGCCACTGGGTTGCATGGCTCACCCCTCAGAACACAAGAGGTGCATTTAATGTAAATGGAGTTGGTGAAACAAGAGGACAGTGGTTGAAGGGTGTTTATGCTTGAGCTCACTGCTAGGAATTGGGTTTAGAAATAGAAGCATCTGACTATGTCCCATTCCCTGTGGAGCCCAGCCACCCTCCTTCTTTCTAGGTCTAAGGGGATGGCAAAGAAAGTGACTTTCTGTATTTGTTCTTAATTATTTCTAAGCATATGGACAAGCTTAAGCCTCTCTCATGAGCTCTTTGATAAGTCTGGCCATGTACAAATTCTGGGAAGTATGACATATCAGGAGTATTCATAAATATTTTCCAATTCAACTCTTGTTTAAACTGAAAATGTCTAAAAAGCATTTGCCCTGGCTAAAAACATAGCAAAAAACATGGTTTCAATCATAAAAATACAGCAGTGTTGTTTCTATCAATATGGAGTATTTTAAGGAAACTATGATACTTAATTTTATAAAGCCTTTTGCAAAAGTGTTTCCATTTATTGGAATGTCACATCTCGATGTATCTTATTTAAAATAACCTTTTTGGGCCAGCCGAGTGGCATGTTGGTTAAGAGCTGGCTTGGGATGCCAGAGGGGCCCGGTTCGGATCCCACATATGAGGGCCAGTGACACTGCCTTCCACAGCTAAGATGCTGAACAACAGCTCGACCTGGAGCTGGGCTGCCGTGGGTCGCCAACTACGGCATAGGCTGCAGTCCTCTGCTGCAGTGGGTTGCCATGGGCTACCATGTGTAGCCAGCAGCGAGCGTGAGCGAACGTCCAGAAGCCGGTGACTGATCTGCCTCGCCTGGGAAGAGCGCAATGATGGTGCCAACTAGGGCCAGTGAAGCAGCGTCCTCCACAACTAGACAGAAGAACAAAAAGACAGCAACTTGTGTGTTCCCCTTCCCCCAATTCCCCAATAAAAATCTTTAAAAAGTAAAATAAAATAACCTTTTTATTTTAGACTAGTTTTAGATTTA